TTTAATGGTTAAATATTTTGAAAATCAAAACTAGTCAACTATTTATCGTATCATATTTTTTAAAATATGTATGCGTATAGGTTTTATTTTTATACGACTTAAAATGGCAAACAAGCTGGCGACCCACCTGAAAGTGGTAACCGTCGCCTATAGATATGAGCAGTACCATGGACATAACAGAGTTTACTGTTTTGCCCATGATACCCCCCATGCGTTGCCATTCCTGAGGACTCAGGTGTTATTCCTCCGTACCCAGTAAATTCACGCCAAGTCTTTTTGTAATAACATAAATACATATTACCTACAAGCACACTTATTATGTCAAATTTTAAGATTTCCAATGTATATATTCTTTATTATACTAAAATAGACAGTAATAACAAGAAGTTAATAACAAAGCAAAGGCGAACTTATCTCTAAAAGAGATTTCTTCCAGTCAACCTAACATAGTGGCATAGGAAGTAGTGAGCGAATTCTATTGCAGGATTCTGGTATTCATGTTACATTTGGCCGAATGATATTTCTAATTCAATTAGACATCAAGTATTACAAATACCGTGCATATAGCGTATACTTACCTACTACTTATACCTAACTAGTTATATATAAACTGTTAGATGGTACATTTCTAATCGAGAAATTTAATTTCGTTGTGATTTGCCAGTTTGATTTCAGAGAATTGTTGATTCTGAGTAAGAACATCGGAAATACCGGCTGATATTGATGGTTTATAGATAGTACGATTCAATATGGCTTAAAGCGATATTACGTCATACTACAAGAAAAGAGTATTTTCCTATTCAAAAGACCGGCAGCACATTTGCAATTCCTCCGATATTACAAGTGCGGCGGTAGTCACCATCAGGTGAGCCGCATGCTCGTTTGTTCTTTGTATTATAAAAAGAAAATACTGTAGATAATAATAATATTAAGCAATGGTTTCGAAGTAAAGCCATAATAAATCAATCAGTGAATCACTTAAGGAGGATTATAGGTTAAAATCTCTAGTCTGACTTTTGCAGATTTTAGATTTTTTTCAGGTTTTTACATATAAGAAATAAAATAATAAATGAAATATTTATTTGCTTTAAACAGACATTTGACACAAGTTTTTGGCATCTGTTTAATTACCTTAAAATTGTAGGCATGCAATTGTAATTTATTATTTAAATAAGGATACAAATTAAACTTAGTGATTATTAAGATTATAGAATAATAATAAAAAAATAAAATAAAACAATTCTCAAACAATTATCAAGTGAAATCTATAAATGTGTGTAGGTACATATTCAATATCGTCAAATAAAATTAACAATTACATTATTATTAATAATAATTACATTCCATATATTATATATCATCAACAATACATATCTTTTATCCATACTACATATTGTGTATATATCGATTACTATATTTTGATAGCTTTTTATTATTATTATTTTTTATGTACTAATGAAGTTAAATAAAATTGTGCAATTTAAATGCTTTAGATACTATTTATAAAGGTTAAAAAGACGTTACCATTAAGTACCTTTTACAAAGTGAAGTGCTATTAAGAGAATTCAGGAATAGACAATATAATTGTTACTTCAAAGGATTGTTAAAGTTAAAAGTAAATGTGAAATTGAGTCTGAGCTTAATTTAAAGTATTTCGCTCACTACAAAGGAGTGTTAAAAATAAATTATGAATCATTCCCAGATTTTTTGAACAATGATGAATTGGTATTAAACAATATAGGTAGATTAGATATAATTAATATGATGCCCACAGCCACTTTCTACCATCGTATGGCTCGCCATCGACAGGCAGTTCATTCTTATGTCCTACAGCCTCAATGGTCGCGTACTGCGCGGTTTCAGAGATGTTTTCTCCCACGAACTCTAAGGTTGTAGAATGAGCTCCTTGCCGAGGTTTTCCCAAGAGACTACAGCATGGAGTTCTTCAAAAGGGGGGTAAAGAGGTTTCTTCAGGGTCGGCAACGCGCACGTAATACCTCTGGTATTGCTTTATTTGTTTATAGACTACGGTAACCACTTACCATCAGGTGGGCCGTATGCTTGTTTGCCACCTCAGTGATATATAAAAAAAATTAAATGTAATTTAAAATTGAGGTTAACAAATAAAAACCGACTCGAATTTTGACAAAATTTGTTATTTTGATTTAAAAACTAAATGACAAAATCGATTCTGAAAAAAATTCTATGGAACTAGTAGCTTTTCAGTTTAGAATTTTTTAAATCGGCTTATAACAAAATTATGAGGTAACAAATATAAAAAATACAACCGAGATGAGAACCTCCTTTTTTCAGTCGGTTGAAAATAAATATATATATTCATAATCCTAATCCCTGATGGAGTCATCATCATTGTCATAACAGTCATTATCTGTCCACTGCTGAACATAGACTTTCTCCATAGTTTACTCCTCTACCAGCTACCGGATTAAATTTTTCTTATCAGGAAAGTTTAAAGTTTTCCTATTTCTCAAGTTAGAACAAACAATTCACATTCACAAAATTTCCTTAAAATGGGTTGAGCACATTCAGAGGTCAGCGTGAACAAACATCGTGATACGTGATCTAAAAAATATACATAAAAAAAATTGCGTTTGTCCTTGTAATGGAAAAACTAAAAAAATACTTTACGGGAATTTAAAAAGTTCTTCATCTATAGAGAGCTATATTATCAGAGCATAACATAGGTTATATGTTATTTAAAAAAAATAGTAACGTCCTACTAATCTAGCTGTGTGAAGCAGGGGCGAGTGGCTAGTGTTTGTATATTAAAATAGGATTCTGAATCTATTAACATGTATTGTAAAATTTTTGCACAATCAATTTCACACATCACGTGTTCACAATCTTTTGACGTTCCACTCAATATTCAGGGCTCACGAGGGCATGCAAATTGCCAACTGCATCTGTAGCGGAAGTAATCACACAGTCCTTCACGGTCTGTGTATCATCAATATAGGTGATAAATATAGACAACTACTCAAGCATAGGTAGCATCGTTCAAATTAGATTAAACTGGTATTAAGTGTAATTTTAAAGACAAAGATTTCCAATTTGGAAATATTATTTCATGAATTATATTAAATCTATCCGCACTCTGGTTTCGTACGGGAGTACTTATGAAGAGAAAACGAGCCCAAATCTTCCCCCAAATCCGTCGATTCTTTTAATATTTTCGGAGATCTCCCTACTGTTTTCTGTCTCACCCATTCATTTTAATGTACGGAGATTTTCAATCCAAATTTTTCACTTTTTCATATGATTGTAAAAACCTTTTTTTTTATAATAATAGGCTTTTACGTCCTGCCAATTAAAAATATAACAAAAAAATCCACATAGGTGTAGTTTCGAAGTAATGCTCTTACACATGTTCAACAATTGGTTTTATTTATTATTTTATTTATTAAACTAAAGAACTTAGATTAATGATTGGTCCAATTGCGATACCAATTAAGTCAAGATTGAATAATAATATTAATTTATAATAAAATTACTGCGTTAGAGAGTTCTTCAATACAATAGTTAGCATTAGGTCTGGTTCATTAAAAAAGGCGTAGGTATTTCCTCATTGCTGAAAGTTACGCTAATGATATTGGGGTTAGTTATGCAAATTAGAATGGCAAACAAGCTGACGGCCCATCTGATGAAAAGTGTTAACCGTCGCCTATAGATATGAGCAGTACCATGGACATAATAGAATATACTGTTTCGCCCATGGGAAGTATCCCCATGCGTTGCCATTTCCGAGAGCTCAGGTGTTATTCCTCTGTACCCTGTAAATTTACTGCCATATCCCACCCTTCAAACCGAAACCCAGCCATGCAAACACAACTGCTTCACAGTAGAAAATTTTCCTCTGGTAAAAAAGGTAAAAAAGGATGGGGTGGGCATCAGACGACCCGGGGTGGATTCAGCCCCTCCGTTCCCCCTCCCCTTTATGAATTACATAGAAGAAGAAGAGTATCTGACTCTTTATTGTTTTTCCAATAAATTACAGTAGTAAACTAAACAAAAACAAAATGAATTACAAGTTCCACGAAGGAAGCAAGGAAGAAAACAATTTATCGCTAAAAGCGATCTCTTCCAAGTAACATTTGTATATATAGGTAGGTACCAAACTAAAATAGGCTAGTAAATATTGCAAAGAATAATTACCAAAATTATTTGATACCGTACGTTTATTTTTAATTATTACATCAGCCGTTACTCTCCACTGCTGAACATATGCTCCTCTGATAAGAAGTGTGTTGCCAATAGCTGCCACGCTTGGCAATTGCAGTTAGGTTTTGATGATATTTTAAAAGGGACGCTGCAGCCTATCCTTCGACCATTTTCCACAATGTGTTTATGAATCTAAAATATTCACAGATATTATACTATAAATACCATAGTATAACAATGACCACTTGGCCGTATGGTCCCGGCATAGAAGAGGCTACCTATTCCTTTCCCGTGAGTGTCGTTAGAGACAACTAAGGGAGGGCGAGGGATAGGTTGCAGCGTCCCTCATAAAATATCCTAAAGCCTAGCTGTGGTTGCCAACCCGCCTGCCAAGCGTGGCAACTGTTAACAAAACTTCCCTAGAGGAGGCTTATGCTTAGCAGTGGACAATTAAAAGCTGATATGATGATGACCTTTTATGACACCCGCTAGACAAAATTGGTGTCCGATTCTATACCGGGACCACATGGCAATATTGTATATACTTACTGTTTATAAGTTTTGTCTTATTTACTAAGTAATGGTTTTCCTATATACATACTGTTCCCACAAACATCGATGTTAAAATGATAAAAATGACAACCAGTCTAGTCTGCGAAGTATTTTAACTCAATATTTACTCAAACTCGCGTGTAATGTATGAACACTGATTTCTTCGTTTGTTAATACCATTTTTGGTATGAGCACGCCCTATTTTGATATCTATCGGCTATGCCTTTGTCTTACCAGCTAAGGCTTATTGCATTCGACAATGTCATCAATGATGCAAGTTCTAAGTCTGATATTCTATCAAATACTGACCATGTGATTGTACTGATCTAAACATGTTTAGTTGTAGTGTCATTACAGTTTTGTTGTTCTTTTTTGTTTCAATTATTTCCTCGAAAAATGTTGAAGGGTAAGTTTTTTTATTCGTTTTTTTTTTTTATATACCAGTAGCCAGTACTAATGCAGATATCGACAGAAAGTAGCTAACTTTATCGTATTTATATTCTACAAGTGATTCGAAAAAATTGGATAAGCATAAATCCAATAAGAAAATTTACAATGCAGATTCTTTGGTTGTTTAAAATTTTTGTTTTTTTTTTTTTATTGAGTTGAGTAATATCTAAAGCACCTTATTGAAGTTTGAATTGAAGATGTTCTGTTTAGTGTTTTTAAATTAATTTGCCTAAAAATTTAATATATTTATATATCCTATTCATTCAAATGTTTCCTCTATAATCAATAAGACAAGACACTCAATTTAGTTCCTTGGCATTTTACTTTACTATTCTGTTTCTAAACAAACTATTACCCATAGCTTTGCACGTATGGTATTCTTACGCTTGAACTTAAAATTTTCGAATATTTTTATTTTTTATCGGATGCTTACAATATAAAATAAACCTATGTTCAAACATTAGCTTTTTAGACTTAGTAATTTTTGATGTGCATTAATAGGCGGTCAGGATAAACGATTTTTTAAGTATAGATTACATATTTGCAATAAATATATGTATATAATTTTTAAAGACTAATAATATAGTTCCGTAGTAATATGCCCTGTGGTCCCGGCATAGAATAGGATATACTTTCTTTTCCTGTGGGTGACTACGAGAACTTATTGTTTGAGGAATAAGCAGCAGCGTTCCTCTTACTAACTTTACGAAAGCTTAACTGCGATCGCCAATCCACCTGCCAAGCGTGGCAACTACTGGCAAACCCACCCTTATGGGGAATGCCTGTATTCAGCAGTGGATCGTTAACGACTGATATGATATGATAAGGAATATAGTTCCTAAATTTTTTGTTAGGTACTAAAAAGCAAATTAAAATAACAAAAAAAAATTTACGAAATTTAACGTAACTTAGTAATAAAAGAATGCATCCTTATCTAGTGTAGGGTGTAACCGTATAATAAAGTACTCACATATCTAAGTTGCGGGCTCGTCTGATTTGTCACGATAAGAAGTTAGGTGACAGATATTGATCGGGGCCCAATCATGAATGGTGTCTGAACACGCATCACAATGTCTTCGTTATTCGTAATTTACTATATACATTATTTCAAGAACTATACATGAAATTCATCGTACTACAATTATTATATTCGATTGTCATCTTGCAATCCTATTGCGCAATATAAAAATCACGATTAAAAAACAGGAGTTGATCGTAAAAGCGTGGAAATTTGAAGTTGTATGTATTTTTCAATGCTTAATCATAATAAAATTAAAAAAAATGCAAAAAAAAAATATTTAACACTCTTATCATTGGGGAGTATGAAAAATAGATGTTGGCCGATTCTCAGACCTACCCAATATGCACACAAAATTTCATTAGAATCGGTGAAGCCGTTTCGGAGGAGTTTGGTAACAAACACCGCGACACGAGAATTTTATATATTAGATATATTATTAAGAAATTTTATATTGGTATCATATCATATTAAATTCGGCTAACATGTCTATGTATTAAATTTATGCTTAAAGAAAACATGTTTTAAATATAGGATTATGAGGCCATACTTCGAAATTGCAATATGAATATTTTTATATCAAAAGATCTCTGTCTGTTAAAGAGAAAATACGAGTAAATATCCTTATTTTTATATTACAAATATGAAAATGTGTTTGTTTGTTTGTTGATCCTTATTCGCTTAACGACTTAACTAGTGGTCATGACATTTGGTATACAAGTATTACCTATTTGAAATGCAGACCCTTAGTATATATATTATAAATTAGTATTAATAGACAATAGTTTTTGCTTTACTTTTGTAATAAATAAATTAGAATAAATATATTTTTCTACTGTTGAGTTTACTGAACAAGAACTTGGCGACCTAGTATAGCGTTTTATTTCAGAGTATTCATTCTTTTGCAATGGAATAATAATAATTATTCCCATAAATGCTTTTTTATAGTATCACTAGCTTTTACCCGTAACTTCGTCCGTATGGTCGATATATGTACATTGACTAGGGTAAAAAGTAGCCTATATTCTTCCACATTTTATATAGTATCTGTATATCAAATTTCACAGTGATTGGTTTAGCCGTTAAGGTGCTAAGGGGTAACAAACAAACAAAACAAGCAACAAAAAAGGGTGAAAATTTATAATATTAGTAAATAGATAGATAAGGATGAGAACGTATCGACAAATTGTTTTTCTTTTTACTGACTCATTACACAAATTATATATTTGTTTAATTTCTGTAACTTCATATTTGCAGATCTCAGCCAGTATTACAAAAAACGGTGGAAGCGTTATTCACAGAGAAATCTCAAGTTATATACCCTGGGGCATGTAAATTAATACCGGCCTCGCCTCGACAAGCAAAAATGTGTAAAAGGAATCCAGGTCTTCCAAAACTTTTGCAAGTAGCCAAGCACCAAGCAATTACCGCTTGTGAAGAGACATTCCGCTACGATAGATGGAATTGTTCATTGTTTTTTAATAAAAGAACAAAAAGAAACATTTTTAATAAAGTATATAGAGAAACAGCGTTTGTGCATGCGTTGATAGCTGCATCTATAACACACGCTGTGGCTAAAGCATGCGCTTCAGGCGATTTGACAAAATGTTCGTGCCTTGGAAGTTTTGGCAAAAATTCTTCATGGAAAATTGGTGGGTGTGGCGATGATTTTAAACAAGGAAAACGGGTTACTAGAAACTTCTTGGAATTCAAGCAAGCCGGGTCCGATCAGATTGGTCAAGTTCTAAAACAAGATATCATAGTTGGAATTGATTCTATGGGAGAACAAATGAGAGAAGTCTGCAAGTGTCATGGCTTCTCTGGATCTTGTACAACGAAAACGTGTTGGAGGAGACTTGGACCGTTCAACTCTGCTATGGGACTATTGAAGAAACATTTCCATCACGCTGTGAAGCAAAAAGTTTTGAATTACACAGTCAAGAGGGCGATCACCTTAAAATTAAGGAACAAACTAAAAGTTGATAGAAAGAAATTAGTTTATTTGCACAGAACACCTAATTTATGCGTTGGTACGATAGGAAGAGTGTGTAAAGATAGGAACAACTGCGCTACCTTATGTTGCGGTAGAGGTTACATTACGACTAAAAAGTTGATAAGCTTTAGATGCAGATGCCGTATGATAAATTGCTGCGCTGTGCAATGTGATACATGTACTCAAGAAGTTGATATTTATACCTGCAAATAGTAATTTTAATATGAAATTGTAGTGAGGATCTCATATTGTAAGATTGGGCTAGAAATAAATGTGTGTCATTTGTAGTCACCAAGACATCATTTAAATCTGATATTTTCAAAGACAATAAAATGTGCAGTTATATATTTTTTAAATTCGTTTAAATAAACTAGTAAACTAACTGTCTTTAATTATATAGTAGACGTTTTATATAATTGAATATTTACTTAATAAATACGAGTATATAGATATATAGATAGAATATATGAATCTTGCTTTTGTATGAAATTACAATGAAATTTTGATGTAAATAGGTATTTACTTGTCTTCTGTATCATATTTTATTTTGTTTAACAAATAATCGTACCAAAGTGCATAAAATAACAAAATTTGTTGAAATCTTTTTGAAAACACTATGAATTAACATGATAGTTTCCAGAGGAAGCCACGTGGAGGTCGAGTCACGGGGGTATATTATTTTTAAATGGATGATAATGGAATGGTAACCCCATCCGCGCTATCGGTATATACCGGCGGGGCAGCAATGAAAAATGATAGGTGAGGTTGAAGTAGGTCAGTTAGCCCATCGTGACGAATATCAACAAGAATTGTTCACGATGGTTTCCAGGGGGAACCACGTGGAGGTCGACCTAATAAGGTATATTGCTAGCAATGGGGATGTCAAACGCCATTGCTAACAATCCTTTTCCCACCGGGGGTATATTATTAGCAATACCGATAATTCCCTTCAAATTAGTAGGTATGTAAATTATAACTGATAGGATGATAAATTATATGAAATGATAGGTGAAGATGAAAGCACGTCTGGACTAAATGCCTATTGTTATTAATAATAATCACAATGGTTTCCAGCAAGAACTGCGTGGAGGTCAATCTGATAGGGTATATTGGTAGCAACAGGGATTCGATTGCTAGCAACCTTTAGACCCCACTACTAACAATGTTATTTCCTCGCATGGTTATGGGTATATGTATAGATACTTATTAGGAGTACCGCTGCGTTTTTATTGGCTGTGATAAGAGGATTGTATATAGTAGATGGGGCCTGATTAATTTTGTATTAAATTATGTACTTACTAACTGTTGTACATTTAGTTATTAGTAATTAAAATAATATTTTTGTACACTTTTAAATTAACTTTACTTAACAGCCCATGACATTTTATGTCGTAATCTTTGACCACCTTGGTGATTTTATAACGGTTTAATATAACGCCCTATCTTTCAATAAGTTAGAATCCCGCATAATATAAATCGTCATAGTCGTAGAATACTGACGGATTTGACGAAGATTACATATAAAGATCCGTCAGTATTCTACGACTATGACGATATACTTGTATTCATGGTTTTGGTCTGGCTGTTTTTTATGTATAATATTTACATGTTTATTGCGTGGTCCCAGCATAGAATAGCCCACCCCTCCCTATCCCATGGCTGTCCTATGAGTTGACTAAAGGAATTTAATAGTCGAGGCAATGGGAAGCAACGTTCCTCTTAAAACATTACTTTAGCCTAACTGCAGTTGCCAACCTGTCTGCCAAGCGTAGCAACTACTGCAAAACCCCCTCTTATAGGAGAAGCCTATGTTCAGCAGTGGATAGTTAACAGCTGATATAATAAAATGATACTTTGGAAACATATCGTGCAAAAAATATTTTTAGCGCCATCTGTACATTTGATCCTATAATGTCTGTGAAGAGAGGAGAACTAATCCTACCTTAATAATAATGAATAGCTTAACAAATGCGAAAGCAAGATCTGAGTGCTACTGGTCTGTATAGTTGGAATAGCGCATAATATAAAATTTAATCTTTTACCGGCCGTCCCACGCCTAGGGACCTCCTGTGCACAGGCGAATAGTGATCGTGATTGCCTCGTCTACCAGTACGACGACTTACCTACCCTTTTTCCCCATTTCCCTTCTTCTTTCTCATTCCCTCCTCTCGCCCGTTCCAAGTGTGTAATTATATCCCCCGCGTCCAAGCGGGGGGAGGGCCGACACACTTCTTGTGTCGACCCTTACTAACAACCTTTATTTATTATTAACATCTATTATATATATCTGGGAACGGGCGAGAGGGGAGAATTACAATAATATAAAAAAAAAAAAAAAAAAAAAAAAAAAATATATATATATACTATTATAAAAAAAAAAAAATACATACAATATACAAGAAAGAAGAAGAGGCCACAACAAAGAAGACACCACGCCGGCATACACAGACCACCAGTGTATGCCGGCTCAAAACCCAGTGACCCGGAGGTAGTTGCCTCCGGAGATGCAGCCGGGGTAAAGGGGTTTACCCCGAGACCCCTACCTCACCCGCCTACACTATTAAGGCGGGCAAGAAGACCCGGATGATGATGATAAGAGTATTATCTCATTAATATAATAAAATTGCAACTAAAGATATCTGTACGTAGGTGATATTTAAAAAATATATGTCCATTATATTGCAAAACAATACTTTAAGAAATTTTGTCAGTCCGTCTGTCTGTATGTTTGTTTCGGCATTGCGCAAAAATTAGTGCACCAAATTGAATACGGTTGTATTTACAGATGTATTCCTGAAGGTCTAACTTAAAAACTGGTGTAGATTTTATCTTGATCTTGACAAGTGATCTATTTTTCTATTTCGAACGCGTACGAACTAGGTACGATAAGCAAAAAGTTAGTTACATACATTTAGTGGAATTTAGAATACAATTATAATTTTCATTAAAAGTATATTATTATAATTTTAAATATTCAAAGAATTATGCATTTATTTTAATTTTACAGTGCCCTCTAGTTTACTAATGTAGAATTAATAATGCTTTTTATATTCCTCCACTCGCGTGATTCCGTACAGTCATAGAAAATAGTTACATTAAAACATCACAGATGGCGTTGAATAATATTTCTGTAACAAATATTTGGATTACTTTGGTTGGTTTTCTTAAACGAAAAATTCTGCTTTTTTTTATTACATACTCATTAAAATCTCACTATATATAGATACAATACTTAATTAATACAATACTGAAATATGGACCTTAGCAAAATTAGAAAAGTAAATTTGGGACGATTGCTGATGAATTAAACTCAGTATCTCATTTATAATTTAAAAAAATTGTCATTGAACATGATTACAAGTGTGCTTTATTTTATTTATATAATTTTAGGTACTTTAATTTTTAGAAAGTACTTTTAACTTAATTATATACTTTAGCATAAATTAAGATTTTCTTACATTAAAATTTTGACAATATCAAGGCAAATGAAATTTTTTATAAATATATTAATAGAACATACAGACTAGTAGACAATTTCGATTAATGAAACGATTTTTTTTTATATCACAAAGTTAGCAAATAAGCATACGGGCTGTATGTTTGTCTGATGTTAAACGATCACTGTAGCCTATGGACGCCTGCAACACTAGGAATGTTATGTGCGCGTTGTTGACTCTAAAATAAAATTATTTAAAAAACAATAATGAAATTAAAACGTTAAAATGACATGAAAACACTGTTCAATTGAAAACAATCTCTTTTTGAATTAATTAGCTTATATATTAGAGACGCATACTAAAACCGAGGCAAACTAGGAAGTTTCGAATTTTCTCTTATCAGCAAACATTGTAATCAAATTTTTAACGTCGACGTTCGAGCCATACAAATGTGTCCACTCGATTGGGTCGCAAACCATTCGATTGTGAATGATCATACACGACACGTTCGCTCGGCAACTGAGGGAGCAAACTAAATAAATTTCACCTTTAGACCAACCTTCTCATAATATTTGAAATGTCAAGCCTGGAACTGGAATATACAGGCTGATTAGATGAATAATAATTACTATTACTTTGCTCATTCACAAAGTGTACCGCTTTTTTTCTTAAGATTTTCTTTTATACTATAGGTAGCAGATAGGGTTGACGTAAGACAGGCGGTCGTTCATAAAGTTAAAAACAAAAATCTTGAGCAATGTCAATAAAAAGATATTACGCCGACCCAAAAATTTATATAATTGGCATAAATTAATATTAAAGTGAGTTACTTGATTTGTTACATCTTCGCGTTTTAACGATTCAGCTGATCGTCATATGTGGGCATTGAAGTCGGTTAAAAATAGATTCAACTTAAGAATCTACTCTTACAATTTGGTTACAAAAATGCATTGCGAAAGTTCTTGCTAACTTTAAGTGTCAAACTTATTTCCAATTTCTGAATTCAAAGCATTTATTCACAAACATATGCACATTATTCACTATGGTATTTAGCTTGATAAATTATTTGAAAACACTGACGATGAAAGAAAGAAAACATATAGCTCTGTAATCAAATTCTATATTAAATCACCTGGTCAGTGGATAATAGTAGGTTATATATTTTTATGGGGATAAATCCATCTTTTGCAATGGAAACTACTGTAACGACATCTAATGGTGGTCAATTCGCTTAAATAGTTTTTTTTTGTGTGTGTATACCTTCAGCAATTCAGCCTTTGATAGACACATTTTCTTTAAATTTTTAGACACATACCTATAAATTTTGTCACGATTGGAATATATTTTTTATGATACAATTATATATACCTGTATAAAAATATGTAAATTAGTACAGGATTTATAAAATGAATTTGTTCAACATCAATATTTCAAAATTATAGACATCTTTAAAAAGTTAATATTCACAATCAGTGTCTAAAACGGCCACACCTATATTACTACCTAGCTTAAAGAAGCAATAACCTGATTGTTATAACGCCTTTAATTGACCCTTAAAGCTTGCGTCTGACCACAAAATTGCGGTTTGTTCTCTATGCCAACTCACGTAATTACCACGGTTTTGATAAAGAAGAAAAAAATGTTTAAAAAACTGCAACTTAGGTTTTATTTATTTATTGGCCCCGCAGCGATGTTTGACCTACTATGAAATCAACTCGATACCAAATCACACGAGTTTATATCCACTTTAGTGGATATAGGTACCTAAGTACTATACTTGTTTCGGCAGCAAGCAAAAATTAAATGCCTTTCACAGTTGTATTGTAATGCATTAGTATTTCTAATTTCAAAATCTACACGTATGATGTATTTGCCAATACAATTCACCAAAAACATAATACTGTTACCAGATTATTAC